GGCTTAAACGTCTCATCCGAAAGACGGTGCGCTATGTAACTTGTATTTCAGCCCTCTAGCTGAAAAACAAGGAGAGGCAGCGATGGGAATTGAACCAGGAACCTAGAGATCTCCACGGTTCAACGTACACACAGTGGCTACCACCAGATTAGCCGACTGAGCTAAGCTGCTCTCTCCTGGTTGTGTACAGGGGATAAATGCATGTTTGACGCAAAGAAATGTTCCCCAAGCCCCCTGCCGCCACCACCACGTATGTATTTAAAAGAAAATATTGTTTAATGACACAGGGAAATTAACCATGAGTAGTTTACCACCCTCGTCTGCATGATTTGTAATAAATATTTTTCTTGAAAAAAAAAAAAGTTTGTAACTTTTTTTTTCTTTCTTTTATTTTTTATTATTATAAATAAGACCTAGTAGATATTATTTGCAATCATGTATTTTACTTTTGATATAAATGCACCAGCAAACAACCCAAGGGTGATATTTGACTTTAGCAAAATAAAAGACACCATCCTCACCATTTTTCTAGGGGTCCGACGAATTACCAAAATGATAGAATTACCCAAATGATACCTGAATGATACGCAATTACCCAAGTTATACGCAATTACTCAATTATACCCAATTACCCAAATGAACACCCAAATGATACAGAGTAACCCAAATGTGTATAATTAACGTTGAAACCTTTCGTATTTTTAACATACAGTATTTATTTGTTAAAATTATTGGTAATGGTTTTTTATAACTTATTTAATCATTTGATAATAATAATAATAATTTTTATCATTATTATTATTATTATTTTTATCATTTCTGTCTGTATTCATGCTATTCCATCTTGTATATTTAATAGACATCTTAATATTTTTTTAAAAACCAAATATTTGGTCATTAAAATTGCACTCGAATCATGAAACAATAAAACTTTTGTTTTGTTTTAATTACACTTCTTTTATTTCATGTCATAAATGGATTGTTTTTTTTTCATTGAAAATTATTGTTATAAATTGGTAATAATTCAACTGTAACTCATTTAACTGTAATTCCAATAATTCAACTGCAACTCGTGCCAAAAAACCTATTAAGGGGACAATTTCACATTTTTGGTCAGTGTCCCCTGAATACTGGTTCCCTATTAAGGGGACAATTTTGAGGGCTCTACTGTATTATTGTCATCGTCATCGTCATGGTCATCATCATCGTCATCACCCCCACCCCAACCACCGACACCACCACCGCCACCACCACCACCACCATCATCATCATCATTATCATCATCATCACACTCCACAATATAACACAGTTGAAATATAGACCAATCAGAATCGACCCATTTCCATGTCAACTCCATTTCATCTTTTTTTTTTGGCACAGTGACACCTCATAAAAATATGATACTAATATATTCAAGAATAAGCAGTTGGGTGTTGCTGGTGTGAAATAAATAGTTGGCTATTATTGTCATTTCTTGCGAGATTGTCGTTTCTTTCATTGAAAAACAGATTGGGTTTTGCCAATCTGAAATAAACATTTGGCCAAAAAACATTTAACAGAAATAATTTCAAAGTGCTACTTTTATTGAAAAAAACAAAAACAAAAACAAAAACAAAAAAACAAAAAACAAAAAATAAAATAAAATCCAAAAAAAAAAAAATGCTGGAGTAAGCCAGTAAACCTTGGATGTATACTAGCCAGTTTGAATTAAATGCACCTAAATAAATCCGTAATATTCGTGTATGTTATTTTGTTTTCAAAATCATAAGATTCTACTAATAAATAAAAAAACAATAATTAATACAACTAGTAATAATACAGATAATAATATAATAAGTAAC